GAAATTGCAAGGTTTCCCCGTTCAAATTATATGTTTTTCGTTCGTTGCTTGAAATAACAATTACTTGGTAAAACAGTCTGTTTTCTCTACTACAATAAGCTAAAAGCTAATTTTCGATAACTTATTTATTTATTTAGTGATAATCATTCTTCCAAAGCATGTTTAGGCCAAAACTCTGAGAGACATGATTTGGGAGCTCTAATTTGTAGATTCTATTGAATATCGACCATCAAAAAATATTTTTATCTCACAAATACTTCCTATACTTTAATCAAGATGGAATACATTTTCGTTATATGCCTTTCACGTAAGAAAAAAAATGGACATAATTCAATTATCTACTGAAAAAGCTTCGCTACAAGCCACAATTTCTCCGAAGTCCTACATTATTTTGACGTAAGATTTATACAAATATAATCATCCACATTTGCTTAAACTATACTATGACTTTTACTTTTGAAATCATTACTATTATTTTTTAATTCATTAAATAAAAGTACCATATATTTCACCGCGTCGGCCATCTGAATTCACTATCGCGCCAGCGGCTCTCTAGGTCGGACCTGTGTAAAATTATTTAGCGCGCTCCTTCTCGTTTCAATATTATCGTAGTGTGCGTCGATGGCCATGGCGCTGCTATTTCGTGATAGAGCATCGTCAACTACGCCCAGAATTTTTAATCATTGGAAGTATTTCAGTTAGTATAAAGTTCGTATATTTCAATTAGTATAAAGTTCGCACAATATTATTATACCAGATAGTTAACTCATTATAGTTAAATAATACTAGTTTTTACGAAATTTATTAAATTAGTATTATTTCAATGTGTAGTGTTCGCGTAAATATAATAAATCATCATTATAGTTATTTTGATTGTAGCTGAGCTTTCTTACCAGTCGGAATAGGGATAAATAAATACAAGTATCAATTTGTCACTTAACCTAAAAAAAGAAATATCCTATCTCTGGAGAAAAAATAATAGAGAATAAAAATGTCTGCGTGCTTGCCATATGGACTGGCCCAGATTATGCAGTAAAAGTACTAAACATCTACAAAGACGACAAATTTTGGATTTTGAACATGTTAGCCAAGTTACAAGCGTTTTATAAAAAGTGTGCGCTGCCTGAAATTATTGACTCGAGATAAGCTCGGTGAATTTGGTAATTGACTGTAAGTACCGATTAGCAAAAATATTAGTTAGATTTGGTTATTTTATTTATTAAAACAGGTTGAAACGGTACTATTTATTTATTTAAACTACTTTGCTACCGTTAGTAGATATAATCTATTATTAACCAACATCGGTTAACAATCGCTTACTGCGTAACAATTAAAATATTTATGTGTACTTATTTCAACACCGAAATTCATAAATAATAAAAAATTATATCAAAATAGATTATAATAAATTAATAAGATAACATAAAAATGACACACCAAAAATTTTCCATCCACTGAACTCCATCCTAAGAAAACTTATATAATGGAAGATCAAGATCGTTTAGTTGCTGCACTCACAGTACCATAGTGCGGGCGAGTGAATTGATAGATATGAAAGAAAGTACCTATCGCTGGCGTAGTTCGCCGCCCACTCGGTGTGTAAAATACCTAAAGCGTACAGCCAAAATTTAAGAGGACTCTTAAGAATATCAGAATTGCAAGATGATATGGCACTGGGTATGCTGGTATACGGACGGAGTTAGTAACACGCTTGTAAAATTTAATAAACACGAAAGCGCATTCTTAATTTCAAAAGGGCCAATGTTCTTAATTTTTTAGTCCTTGAGGCCTGAAATAAAGTGTATTGTGTGAAACGATGAGTCCGCTTGCGTTAAGAATAATCTCGGTCGGTATTTTCACAGATAGTTGGAAAACGGCTTTGATTTGTTTAATCTACGAAAAGGGACCTAAGAACTGTCCCCGATCATAACCCTATCTCGTTTTTAATGGTTTTCCAAATCACTTGAAAAACTAGTAAATAAACGACTTGTCTACTGTCTGGAGGCATCTAGCTATATTTCCCTTAAGTAATTTCGTTTTGTGGTAAAAGCACGGAAAGAAAAACCTAATAACACTACCACGTTGTATGCACATCTTAACAGGACGGTCCTGACTTAGTGTTTTTCTAGACGTATCAAAAGCTTTCCATGTTTATTTTCTATCTTCTTGAAAAAAAACTAGAAAACACAAGTATTTGAAGGGCTCAAGGCCATCCCTAGTTTGAAGTTATTTAATAAATCAAAAACAGTATGTGAAATATGGTCAATAAAAAAATAGTCACACAGGGCAACATCCGGGGGCCTACATTATTTATTCTATATACTGATGAAATTCACAAGAAAATACTTACAACGGGCGGTATTTTATGCTACGCCGATGACAATCCGACATTTTTCAAGGATCTTCGTGGAAACCTCCTTGTTTTATTGTTGAGCAAGATATGTTACAGATTACTTAGTGGCTACAGAATAATCTACTGACTATCATTGAACTCAAAATAAATATTCTTGTAATATTAATAAAAATATTGAATAAAAATTGTTCTATTCTTTTCTATGAAAATATCTCCGTGTACTTAATGCTGCAAATCTGGGATTTCAATCGCAATTAAAAGTTATTTTAACCCGAATGAGAAATATTACCTAAATAATGAGAAAGCTACATAATATAGCAAATAAGTCAAAATTAAAATTTGTACATTCCGTCATTGGTCAATTGTTAATAATTTATTGCGTATTCAGGAAGTGCGACCAAAAACTATTTTATCCAGATCGAGAGAGAACCGCGTGCATTTTTTATGGAAATGCAAAGACAATCATATATTATGCAAACAAATATACAAAGATGCGGGAGTAAGTGTAAGTGAACTTTTTATGCATAAAATGGCCGAAAGTTTAATAGTACATCTTCCCATTATCACAAATTACAGTTAAATCGTAGGGTATACAAATTATCCACATCATCCATCAATACTAAATTTGCGTTACGTTTTAGCGATTTATCAAAAGACAAATCTATAATATAAGGTTGTTAACTGTTGTGACCTTAAAAATAAAAACTATATAATAGCCAAACTATTTATATGGAAATGGTTGGTTACACTATGCTATGAAGAAACAGAACAATTGTTGAAAACTAGCTGTTGTTAAATAAAGGTGCTATATATAGAAAAAACTTTTCTATGTATAAAATAAATGTGATAACGCAACGTGTCTGTCTGATAAGGTATAATAACGCATAATGAACTTCGGTCGCAGGTTTGGCTAATGGAATCACTTGTTGTTTATAATTTTCTGTTATTAAAACATCTTTTTACTCATTTATTTTTCATTAAAATATGTAGTATTTTTAGTTAATACTTACACACATACATAAACACTCACGTCTGTCACCAAGAGAATAAGGCAGAGACTACGGCTTTCTATTTGGCACGATCCTGGCACACGTCTCTTGCCTCCTTTACATTCATATACCTACGCATATTTGCTTTACTTTATCTTTATAAGTATGTAGTTTAATTTCCTCCCTGCTGCGGAGGAGTCCTATGTCCAGTAGTGCTCCGCGACGCAGTGAGTCAGTAATTAGAGTTTATTTAGAGTTGCTGCGCCCGGGTCTGGACGTTGCCCTTAGTGCAATTTATTTTTGTCCACTCCACGATACAGGAGAAAATCCTAGTGTAGGGAAAACGTTTTTTAAAGAAGAAAAAAATAACAAGTGGGCACCCAGGTAAACCAGGAGTTGCAAGCGATGCGGATGTTGCGGGTGCTGTACGTGTTGCGAGTGTTGCGGATGTTGCGGGTATTGTGGGTATTGCGGGTATTGCGGGTGATGTACGTGTTGCGAGTGTTGCGGATGTTGCGGGTGTTGTGGGTGTTGCGGGTGTCGCGGGTGCTGTGCGTGTTGCGAGTGTAGCGGATGTTGCGGGTGTTGTGGGTGTTGCGGGTGTCGCGGGTGCTGTACGTGTTGCGAGTGTTGCGGATGCTACGAATGTTGTGGGTGTTGCGGGTGTCGCGGGTGCTGCTAGTATTGCGGGTGTTGTGGGTGCTGCGAGTATACAGGTGTTGCGTGTGCTGTACGTGTTGCGGTTATTGTGGGTATTGCGGGTATTGCGGGTGCTGTACGTGTTGCGGGTGTTACATGTGTTGCGACTGCTGCGGGTGTTGCGGGTGTTGCATGTGCTGTGGGTGTTGCGGGTGCTGCGGATATTGCGAGTGTTGCGGGTGTGGCGGGTGCTGCGGGTATTGCGAGTGTTGCGGGTGTGGCGGGTGCTGCGGGTATTCCGAATGTTGCGGGTGTTGCGTATGCTGTACGTATTGCGGGTGTTGCGGGTATTGTGGGTATTGCGGGTGCTGTACGTGTTGTGGGTGTTACGTGTGTTGCGACTGCAGCGGGTGTTGCGAGTGTTGCATGTGCTGTAGGTGTTGCGGGTGCTGCGGGTATTGCGAGTATTGCGGGTGTTGCGTATGCAGTACGTATTGCGGGTGTTGCGGGTATTGTGGGTATTGCGGGTGCTGCGGGTGCTGTACGTGTTGCGGGTGTTACGTGTATTGCGACTGCTGCGGGTGTTGCGATTGTTGCATGTGCTGTGGGTGCTGCGGGTTATTGCGGGTTTGCGGGTGTGGCGGGTGCTGCGGGTATTGCGAGTGTTGCGGGTGTGGCGGGTGCTGCGGTTATTGCGGGTGTTGCGGGTGTGGCGGGTGCTGCGGGTATTGCGACTGCTGCGGGTGTTGCGAATGTTGCATGTGGTGTGGGTGCTGCGGGTGCTACGGGTATTGCGGGTTTGCGGGTGTTGCGGGTGCTGCGGGTATTGCGAGTGTTGCGGGTGTGGCGGGTGCTGCGGTTATTGCGGGTGTTGCGGGTGTGGCGGGTGCTGCGGGTATTGCGAGTGTTGCGGGTGTTGCGGGTGGGCGGGTGCTGCGGGTGCTGCGGGTATTGCAGGTGTTGCGGGTGCTGCACGTGTTGTGGGTGTAGCGGATGTTGCGGGTGCTGCGGGTACTGACCGCACGTGCTGCACGGTGCCGGCGGCCAGGTCGCGCGGGAGCAGGTCGGTGAACAGCCAGCCCACGCGCCGCAGCCCCAGCCGCCTCGTCAGCTCGGCGAGCAGCTCGGCGCGCGGGTCCTCACCCAGCGAAATGAAGTCGCGCCCGCTTTCCTGCGGCGGCTCGTAGATGGCCGTCACGCGGGCACGTATACCTACAACACATTAGAGACACTGCACTATCTGCATTGCGATTATAAATTAATGCTCATTACACTACTTTACATATACATTATGCTACTTATAAACGGCATATTCTCAATCATATTGAGTCAAGCGACGGTTTCAATTCAGCTGGGCAACATTCTAATGTTCCACCAGGTCGTCACTCTATCTAGTAGGGAGACGTCCGACACTTCGTCTGCCGGAACAAGGCTGCCACTCGAGAACCTTTCTCCCCTATCGGTTATCGGTTCTTCGAGATATATAGCCGATCTATTGCTACTTCAGCTTACTAATCCGTTGGGGTGTATAGGTCACTCTGGTTTTCCTGCGGATATCCTCATTCCTAAGTTTATCACGTAGTGAAACCCCGAGCATAGCCATACTCTCCATAGCTCGCAAAACAACTTTGAGCTTCCTCAAGGGCCAGCAGCAAAGGACCACGTCTCAGATTCGTAGGTCAGACTGGCAACACGCACCGGTTGTACAATCTAGTTTTGGGGTTTTGAGGTATGCCTGACGAGATGATGTGTCGTATCACCCGGACGCTCGACTGCCCAGCCGAGTTGAAGAGAACAGAAACTTTTTTATTTAATATAGAAGAAGATGATAAATAATACTTATAGACAGTAACTTTTTTTTAATTTACCACTAGTTCGGAAAAATATCTCTGTCCTGGAAAGAGCTAGCAAGAAATCCAGTGACACTTAAAAAACAATTTATAAACATATATTACACAATAATTAACAACATAAAACAAATTAGAAATAACATAGTAGCGATCACCTTATTCCCATGGATTATTATCATCCATAAATTCCTTAATACTATAATAATCCTTTTATACAAACTTTGTTTAATAAAGTTTTTAAACTTTGTGCAGGTCAAATTTTGTATATTTTCTGGGACTTTGTTGTAAAAGCGTATACATCACCCGAAGAATGAATTACTGACTCGGTGGAGTCGAGTAACTGGTACTACTAGCTTGTGTGTTATTTTTGTTTAAGTACGTTACATTTTCGTAAATGTTTTGAGAAGTCAAAGTTAATTTATTAATTTATTTAAATTTTTGCGACTCTTTAGGTTTTAAATCATATATTGCTCTAATGGCCCTCTTCTGTAAAACAAATATAATTTCAGAGTCAGTCGCGTGTCCCCATAACAAAATACCATACGACATTATACTATGCAAATAGCTAAACTAGTCTAGCTGTTTCAAACCTGGTAAGATTTCTAATCTTTTTTACAGCATATGCAGCAGAACTAAGTATGCTTTGTAGTTTTGTTATATGGGGCCCCCATTGAAACTTTGCCTCTGGTGTGATTCCAAGAAAAATGGTGGTATCAACAAGGCTCGGCTCCGCCCCATTTAAAATTCCATTAGTATTAACATGTTTGCCATACGGAGTTATGAATTTTATACAATTAGTTTTAGTGCCACGTAAATGCAAATTATTAACATTAAACCAATTTACTAATTTAGATATAGCATTAATTACTTCGTCATAATTTTGTAACTGTCGTTTAAAATCGAAAATTAATGAAGTGTCATCAGCAAATAATATGTCATGGTTATCACCTATGTAAGATAAGTCATTAATACGCACAAGAAACAGAAAGGGGCCGAGAATTGATCCCTGAGGCACGCCCACTTGTTGTAACGTCGCGGAAGATCTCATACTATTAACGACAACTTTTTGCGTTCTGTTACGTAAATATGAAATAATTGATTTAAGAGCATTACTTCTACACCGTAGTGTTGAAGTTTCCTGATTAATGTTTCAAGGTGAACACAATGGATGGCTTTAGAATAGAATATACCCAAATTATCCTGTGAATTCTCCCATGCATTAAAAATATATTTAATCAGCTCAACACCAGCATAGATGTCGAGCGACACCTTGTAAAACCGAATTGATTTATATGTAGTGAATTTTACATAATTTTACTTTACATTTAATGAAGAATATTTTTTTTTTCAAAAATTTTACTAAGGGTTGGCAGTACAAAAATATTTATCTAAAATTGGCGAAGTCCAATGTACTACTAGATTTAATTAAAGGTACGAGTATTACTTTACTATACTTCATTAATTCAAACAAGATTCAATCAGATCAGATACTAATATTAAAATTACAGATACTTGAGGTGATAGGGGTTTATGCGTGATGTGCGGTTTTCTTAATATCAATGGATTTAAAATATTTTACAATATCTTGTAATGATACTTTATGAAATGTAAAATTCTTTGTACACTCATTTACATTTTATCTAAGCACTGTTTCGTCGATGATCGAACGCTTTTTGCAAATCTAAGAAACACATATGCTTTTATCACGTTTGTCTACATGTTATTTTTGAAGTCAGTTGTAAAACAGCGACTTCTGTTGAACGTTGTGCCCTAAAATCAAATTGATTCGCAGCTCAACCATAAGGCTCTAGATATTTTGTCAGTCTTTTGTTCACAAGCTTCTCAATTATTTTTTAAAAAGTATGTAGCAAGCAAGGGGGGATGAGTCGCTCGCGTCCGTAGGCTTCGACCACCTAACCTTAGGCCCACCCTACACGTGTCCCCCGGGTGGTGCTAAACGAGCGACAAAGCCGAAAAAATAGACTCGGCTCCTCGCCGTATGGTAGCGGCGTAAAATCTACCACCACCCCTTGTTCGCACCATGACTCAGAAAACAAAAGAAATGGCCCCGAGTTCCCGGCGCCCCTTCAATGGGGCAGGGGTGCGAAGAATCTCCGGGAGAAAAACCGGCGACGAGGTTCGCCACCCGTCACGTTCTGTCTCCCGGAGGGGCGAAAAGTGGATTGCGGAAACCCGTCTCGCTACGCTGAATGTATGTGGAGGAATGAATGATAAGATGGATGAAGTATGCGAAATGATGAATGACAGAGGAATAGATGTGTTATGTGTGAATGAGACGAAACGAAAGGGAAAGGATGCCACTGCACATGGCACGTATACCGCGTATTGGTCTGGCGTAGACGAGACCGAACGGGCATGCCAGGGTGTCGGTTTCATCCTTTCAGAAAGAATGGATCAATGTGTGAAAGAGTATGAATGTGTAAGCCCGAGGCTGCTATGGATACGAATTAAAGTGGGCTTAAAGAAGCTGTTCCTGCTAGGGGTGTACGCCCCAGACATGTCTAAGCCCACTTACATCCGAGAGCAGTTTTGGGACATGGTAAGGATGGTGTTGACAAAATGTAAGGAAAATGAAAATATTATTATGTTAGGAGACTTTAATGGAAGGGTTGGGGTGAAGAGGTCTGGTTATGAAAGGATATTGGGAACGTTTGGTGATGAAAGTATAAATGAGAATGGTGAAGACCTCCTCACCGTATGTGTGGAAAAGAATCTTTTTGTGACGAATACTTTTTTCGTCATAAGAAGATTCACATGTATACATGGGAAAGAGGTGATGATAGAAGCATGATAGATTTCGTAATTGTGGATGAAAGAATGAGGAGCGCAGTCGTAGATACAAGGGTTTACCGGGGGTCCAATGTAGGGACGGATCATTACTTGGTCTTATGTCGAATTAATGGTCTTTTCAAGCGTTGGCGGCATCGGACATCTGTGTCTACCACTGCGTTACAGCGTATAAGAATAGAGAAGTTACAAGATGAAGATGTGAAAGAGAAGTATAAATGTAGACTGAGAGGAAATATTAGATGTTTGAATGAGTTGTGTATGAATGATTTAGACTTGAATACTGTGTGGGACAATATTAAGAAAGGTTTGGTGGATGCCGCCACTGAAGTATGTGGTGTAAGTAAGAGAACAAATGAAAGGAAAAGTAATAAGTTGTGGTGGGATGATGAGGTACGGGTGGAAGTTGAATCAAAGAAGAAAGCATGGTTAGATTTACTAGCAACCAAAGCTGGTAATTCTTCTGGTATGAATGATGAGATTGAAAGAAAAAAGGCAGAATTTAGACGTCTAAATAAGAGAGTAAAAGAAGTTGTTGAAAGGAAAAAGAAAGAAAGAACGGATAAGAATGATAGAAGGATATCTGATAATTTCCAGGTTAACATAAAAATGTTCTGGAAACTCGTAGGAACTGCCAGGGGAAATACAAAACAGCCTATAATGAATGCTGTAAGAGACGAGAATGGATGTATTCTGAATGATGAAGCTTCGAATTTAAACAGATGGAAGGAATACTTTGAAAGCGTGTTTATGAGTGAAGAGTCGTCTGAATTAAATGAACTAGAAATTCCGAAAGAAGTGGAAAGGGGTATGGAGATAAGTGTAAATGAAATAATGAAAGCAATGAAAAGCATGAAAGCAGGTAAGGCAGCTGGATATGATAGAGTATCACTCGAGATGCTAAGGGCTGGAGAGGGAGTGGTGGCAGGCCTGCTGTACACCTTGTTTAATTTATGTTGGGAATTAAAACTGGTACCGGATGACTGGTGTAAAGAAGTTATAGTACCAATATAAAAAGGAAAAGGGTCGCAGCAGGACTGCAAAAACTACCGTGGTATCAGCTTGCTTAGTATTGTGGGTAAACTGTATGCTAAGGTGTTAATTGTTAATTTGGGATGTGCGAGCGGGTTTTAGAAAGGGAATGGGGTGTACAGATCAAGTCTTTTCCATGCGCATGATTGCGGAGAAGTTTTTGGCCAAAAACCAGAAAGTTTTTTGTGCGTTCATGGACTTGAAAAAGGCTTATGACAGATGGACAGGAATGTGTTATGGCAAACACTGAACTCATATGGGTTGAGCGCTGGTTTGATACAGGCATTAAGGTCTCTTTATAGGGACTCTAGTGCTTGTGTCAGGATCAATGGGGTCTACTCGGACTGGTTTGGCATCCAAAACTGGTGTCAGACAGGGCTGTGTAGCTTCCCCTTGGCTGTTCAACCTATTTATGGACAGGTGTTTGTAAACTTTGAAAGATGAAGAATGTGGGTTAAGAATGGGCGAGTTAACCGTCAAATGCCTTTTGTATGCCGATGATCAAGTCATATTTGCGTCATCGGCGACTGAGTTGCAAATGATGGTTACATTAATGAACTGGGAATTAAAAGAAAGGGGAATGAAAGTGAACGCAAGTAAGACGAAAGTGATGGTTTTTGAAAGAGAAGAAAGCAAAACGGTATGTGAAATAAGCATAGAAGGAAAGTTATTGAGCAAGTGGATGAGTTTGTGTATTTGGGATGTGTATTTAGCAGGGATGGTAGATATGATAGGGATATAGAACGACGAGTAAATGCAGGGAATAGAGTGAATGGGGCACTACACTCTATTATGAAGAACCAGAATGTGTCAAAAAAGGCACGTATGGTATTTCATAATGCTGTGTTAGTCCCTACTTTAATGTATGGTAGTGAAAGCTGGGTGTGGCAGAAGAGTCACGAAAGTAGAATAAATGCTGTAGAAATGCGGTCTTTAAGGAGTATGCTAGGGTTGAATCTGAATGACAGGGTGAGAAATTGCATGATAAGAGATAAATGTGGTATGCAAGATGATGTTGTGACCAGGATTAAGAAAGGAATGCTTCGGTGGTTTGGTCATGTAGAAAGAATGAATGAGGAAAGAGTGACAAAGCAAATTTATATGGCAGATGTGAACGGCCGATGCGGGAAGGGACGCCCTAAAAAAAAGTTTATCGACCAAATTGGCGATATTTTGAAAAGGGGCCACGTTATAAGTACCCTTAACCGACGAGCATGTATGCGTAGATATATGGATGTAAAGGAGGCGAAAGAGGTATGTCAGGATCGTGCCAAATGGAAGTCCGTAGTGTCTGCTTACCCCTCTGGGTGACAGGCGGGAGTGTTTATGTTATGTATGTTATGTAGCAACGAAATCGACCTGTAGTTTGAAGAAGTGGTCTTATCACCAGATTTAAATATTGGTGTTACTGAGACCTGTTTGAATTTAACTATACCTTTTAACGAAATTAACAGTAATTTTATCCCAGTCAGTGGAATTAAACATCAATATACGGTCATATTAAAAATAGTTTATTCATCCTTACACAATCAGTTTAAAATGTCTTGGTTAATATTTATCACTGCTAACATTACTAGACTTAAATGGTATTGGGGATGTGGGGATGTATGCTTAACAATCAATCAATACATATATAAACGAAGTTCCCACACCACGCCTGTTTGTTCGTGCTAAATATGTATGTAATAAATACGGTGATATTATTTTGACATTGCTTTTTAATCGAAACATAACCAGTTCAAAATATTAAGTTGCTATTAAAATCATAAATTGGTATTTTATTACCCAGTAATTTTAGATTTAATGTTGTTTATAGTGTATAATATGTTTTTATTAAGTAGTAAATCAAAACATATTAATACAAAGTTATGACACTGTTATCTATCTGTCAGTCTATTGGACTTTTAAGAGACTACTTTGGAAATGATGACTTAGAATAACAAATGCGGTGGCGTATTGGCATTTTACTTTGTGTATCATTACACAACCAGTTTAAAACATCTTTCTGACTATATAGCTTGTAACGGTAATATTATAAATAAACATATTATTTCTTTATTTCGGTAACGGTGTTTGGGATCTATTTTCACTAAACAATCAATACATGTAAAAAAAGAGTCTCCACACCACGTCTGTGCTCTATATTTTGCCGGAACCACTAAAAGGATTTTCCATAAATTTTAAACTACCTATAAATGATGACTGAACCTACAGCATTGTTTTATACTATTAATTATTGAACAATACATACCCAAAGGCACGTCGGGGTGTTGTTCGTAATTTCCATAAAGGAAGCCCAAGCGCTGGTGTCCAGTGGCGCGCCAGTAGGCCAGCAGACGCTCCACTAGCGCTGCGTTCTGGAACAGCACGTTGTCCACGTGGCGGTAGGGCTGCCGGTTCAGCGTCACCGCACTTGGCTGGCACTTGGAGCAAATTCCACGAGGCCACGGCGGATGCTCCTTGCACCCTTAAACGCATAATCACTGAATAACCATTGTATAGTCATATGGTACAGTCAGCGATAGATATAAAGGAGCAGGCAAGATGTTCAAATATTTTGAAACAAACGAAGTGATAATGATTCAACTATTCATAGTAACCAAATAATATTGATATTTGTTTTATATCAATAATTTATTTGGCTACTATTATTGATAAAGTCAATCTTTCTGAAATATATAGGAGCATGTACAACATTAAATATATATGATCATTAAAATTTTAAATCATTCAAAATTATAGTACCAAACAGAACGCCAATGGTGTAGGGGAGACTGGGGCTGGTAGTGACAGGGGTAGGTAGTTACAGCGGAAACGGTGGCTAAACTGAGAACGCTGTATTGTCGTGAGAAAGATACAAATGATCACGCGACCATCGGCTAGCACGCCGTGCGAACCTGTGGCGCCAGGGCTTTTGTGAGAGGAGCCCGTACATGTTGCCGTCAAAACCGCATGTTAGTAACATTTTCGTTTTTTCGTAATATTTGTCTAAAACCTCTTTTCCTTTAAAGCAGATATGTGTGTGTTGTGATATGTGTGCCCTAATCCTTTCTTATTGCAACGAATTTACGTTTATACAGTTATACTTATGTGTTTTTACTACTTAACCTTAAAAGGTCAGTTTTGGCGTTGGGGCTAAAAGTGACATTTGCTCGGAGCAGGTTGTTACTTGTTACTCTACCTACCCCGTAGTGCTGCTTGCCGACTAATATATTTGACTTATTTATTTTTTGCTAATATAATTTTATTTTTTTATTTTTTGTTCATCTTCAATTTATACTAAGCTTTTGTTTAATAAAGAAATTTATAATTTTCTGCCGGTTGGAAGTTACCTAAATTTTATTTTTATAAGGCGTAAGTCTAAAAAATAAGATTATAATTTTGTTCAACGAAGTTACTATGTTTTTATTTTAATGAGGCAAAAGACTGTTATATAGAAAATATAGTTTGACATTGTATACAATATACATAATAATTGTTATAAACTGTCATTATTCTCAATAAAAAGTGTTATATTACATTTGGTTTTTGTTGTAACATTTTGCCTCTTATAATCTAACAACCAGCCCCTGTCGCGGGGCTAAAAGTTACACGCCTCTTTTCCCAGAATTAATTCATTTATGTCACTTCTAATAGTCTGGTATCTAAAATTGTTTTTAAATTAATAACCCGAATAATTACTTATTCAAACAAACCTACATTCCGGTAAAACAATCAAACAAACAAAAAATTGCGACACTTTGTAAAAAAAAATGTCACAACCAGCCCCAGTCTCCCCTAAACGCATACAAAGTATTCAAAATTTTGAAACACTAGAAAAGAAATTTTATGACGATATCATAGAATCATAGGGTTAAATTTTTAACATTTTAAAAATCCAATTCGTACGCTTAAAATATCATCTACAAAATAATCGAAATTAAAGACGTGAAGTGGCGGTGTAAAAGTCAATATCCACAACCCGATATCGTCCCGTGGGTGTCTATAGTAAGTACAGTATGTCTATCGCGGATGGAGCTATATAATGGCTGAAGCACGAATGGGTCGATTCGACCGCGAAGGACCACACTCTCAGTGTTTCGTATGGTGAGTGTAGAGTACCGGAGACTCTTTTTACTGCAAACGAGGCATTCCACCTTCGTCCTCAGGGGTTGTCACCCTTTGCATTTTAGGGCATTGTCATGCATCTGTATTTTCATTCTCATGGATGATTTTTATTTCCTTCACATGAATTTTGTTTTGAAATTTTGACTTTAACTCTGATGTAAAAACTGAAAGACGCTGTTTATATGGATGAATAAAGCAATGTGTCTTTGCTATGCTTCTTGACGTTGATAAAAACACAAACAGTGATTGATGGAAAAATTACATTTTTATTTTTATATCAACTTATCCTAATAACAGTGTTAAAATTTGATCTGATACTGAAAGTTTTTAGAACTGGCCACTTGTAAACGATATACTAAAAAAATAAAATCAAACTTTGAAAATGGAACTCTTTGTCTATATTATTGTGTATGTATTTGATTAATTTTTCATTTCGAATTAGCATTCGCCTAATCTCATAGATGATCTGCGTGAGGGACGACTGAAGATAACATTGGTGTTGTGCGGCGCATGATAGAGACTGACAAAAGAGTGACTTATCAGCAGATTCGGACAAGCTTAGGCATCGAAATGAGTCAAGTACACTAAATCTTCCATGAACATTTAGCGGTCAGAAAGCTATGTGCCCGGTGGATACATCATAATTTGACAGAGGCCCAAAAACTCCATCGTGTTAACGGAGGTGACTCAAATGATGTGCTCGACAATCGACATACTTACGGGTGACGAAAGCGGGATTTATTGTTAAGATCCTAGAAACTAAGAGACAGTCTGCTATCTGGGTGTTTCCTTCGGATGAGTTGCCAACTAAATTGAAGAGAGGTCGAAGCGTGGGAAAAAAGACGGTGGCCTCGTTCGTCGGAAGGACAGGTCCTTACGATACAATTGTTTGAGAGGATCGAAAAACAGTTACTGCAGAGTTGTATACTAACAATTGTTTGCCACTTGACTTGGAAAAGGTTCGGGAGAAACCACCTCGCAATAGGATCCTCCTTCACCACGATAACGCCGTCACACATCGCCAAGCAAACAATCGACTACTTGGTGACGTCAGACGTGGAATTACTGAGTCACCCGCCCTATTATAGCCCCGACCTTGAGATTTTTGTTTATTTCCGAAAATAAAACAAAAACTTTGAGAAAATCTTTTTGTGGACGCCGAGAAAGCAGTGGCTGCGTTTCAAAATGCCATCTAAGCGACCCCTAAGGACGAGTGAGGAAAGTGCTTTTCTCAGTGGTTCTATCGAATGCATGGATGTATTGATTTAAATTGACACTATTTTGAAAAAATATCATAAAACAAATAACTTGCTAGTTTGTTCAGTCTTTGATTTTCTAAGAACTTTCAGTGTCACCCTTGTATCGGTAAAAAATAATAACCGTCATCCAGTTTGATAAAAAAATTTTGTTTTCCAGAATCAGCTGCAAAAATAATTGAGAAATATAAAACAAATTACGAAAACTATTGTTTAATTCAATAGAACAACCTCCCCTGCTATCATTTTGATTGACATGTATTATTATATTATACATTTATTCAATAGGATTTCATTTTAACAGAATAGTTACTATTAAAACATCTCAGTCGGGAGCCATTGGGTACTTAGACAGAAAGGTACTCTCCCATACAAATTCATCGATTTTTATAGAAGAAGAGTGGCAAATGAGCACACAATCCACATTACATTAAGAGGGCATATGAGATTCATATTGAAAATTTCATGTTTTAGCGTGTTTCATGGTTCAAAAGCAATGTCGTAACGATGTGAGCAAATCGTTTGTAGGAAATTACGGCTTTAGAATAATTAAGTCTTTATTTAATGCACTATAGCGCAAAATCATAATTTTAATGACGGTTTTTAGTGCGAAGACAATCCGTCCATAACGCTTTATGAAAATATGCTTGTTATCTTTCAAGTCGAATACAACCATTATTATACTTTAAAATGCTTTATTTTAAGCGTTATATGATAGAATATATAGTCTCAAAGTGCCACACGGCGCCCAAATTACGAAAATATTTCGATGTAAAATTAAAAAACAATACTATAATATCACTAACACTTATAGCTCAATGTCATTTATTCGTGTAATTGAATATTAACTTATTTATTATAATTTTTTTATCTAAATAAAACGAGATTAAAAAAATTGGTTAACCCTACAGGCTACAGGCCATCCCTGGAACTTCCCGCTAATTTCAAATGCAAAGCGCTACAAATTTCACTAAATTATGTTGCGAAATCTCGAAGTTATGATTTTAAAAAAAACTTTTATTTCTTTCTCCTTCGATATCTCACAAACGATTATTTAGCAATGCAACGGCATTCGACGTCATTTTTTGAGGTTAAGAGCTGATTTTTTTTAAATCGATTGGAAAAGCCGTTTAAAAGTTATTCCAAAACGACAGTTTTTAAAAAAATATTTTTGAGATTTCTCAAAATCTACCCGTCCGAATCAGTTCATATTATCACCAAATTTATTCCACATTGAGATCTGTAGAACGCCGCAAACCGCATCTCAATTGATCAAGACGTTCAAATGTTATGAAAGGTTTACATACGTATATACACACACACACACACACACACACACACACACACACACACACATACATGTATGTATGTCGTACGGACGTCCACGTGAAATTAGTCAGAATAGCTTCCGGGATCTCAAAACGTCGACATCTGGTGAAAAATCGATTTTCGAAAATCGGGAAACCAATAACTTTCCTATTTTTGAAAATTTTCAATTTTCTTAGCGGGAAGTTAAAAATTCGATATTCAGCATTCATTAACTGTATTTTGTCAACTACTTTAAAAACACTATAAGGGTTACGTATACAGCATATACATAACGTGTTTTATGCCGGACGGAGCGGGGCGTCAAATTTGGAAATATCGTTTCATAGAAAATGTACGTGAAAACGCATAAAGTATGATGCACGGACGGGGCGAGGACGTGACATGAACTGGAGGCGGAAAAATATTACCGGCAACGATGTTTACCGCGTCCCGGCAAGGGCGCGCCATGTCCCGTCCGTTGCGTATGCACAGTCGCTCCGCCAATTCTTCAAATAAAAAATATTATCGGCAACGATGTTTACCGCGTCCCGGCAAGGGCGCGCCATGTCCCATCCGTTGCGTATGCACAGTCGCTCCGCCAATTCTTCAAATAAAAAATATTATCGGCAACGATGTTTACCGCGTCCCGGCAAGGGCGCGCCATGTCCCATCCGTTGCGTATGCACAGTCGCTCCGCCAATTCTTCAAATAAAAAATATTACCGGCAACGATGTTTACCGCGTCCCGGCAAGGGCGCGCCATGTCCCGTCCGTTGCGTATGCACAGCCGCTCCGCC